CTCCTCCTCCTCTCCTCCTCCTCCCGCCCTCCTCCCCACCTTCCCTCCTCCCACCATCCCTCCTCCACCCTCCCTCTCCCCCACCCTCCCTCCCTTTCTCGCTCCCTTCGTCTCCTCCCCCTCCGACGAAGAGGAGAGCGAGAGAGAAAGAGAGATTTGGCTCTGGACTATAGGCACTCTCTCTAGGGGGGTCCACTTTGTCTCAGCCCCCCCAATGCTTCACAGTGATATGCCGTGAGGGCCGCCGGGCCAAACCGAGCGCCCTGGCGCTCCACGTGCAAATCGCGAGGCTTCGATGCCGCCCATCGTCCGCAGAGCCCACAGAGGAAGTGAAGCGGCCTTTGCTGCCGGCGGCGCGGCTGTCATGCACCCTGCGCCAGTGGACGGAAGTTGGGGGAAGCAGGCGTCGATGGGGGGTTGCTCAAGAGAAAGAAGAGAACCTGGACGAACCGGGGGGGCCCCAAAGTGGATCGGCGGGCGGGCCCGCTCTCCGCAACGCCCTGGCATGGGTTGACGAAGAGCGAAATGCGCCCACGCGGGTGTTGTTTCCTGGTGCTGTGCCACCTCATTGGTTCCACGCTCATTGCAACGCGCCGCCACGTGACCCCTTTTCCCGCATGCATAACATTCTCGGTCGCTCATCGGCACGACCTCTCCTTCGGTCCAGCTCCCGGGCCTGATCATTGCAACCCCCACCTTGTCCTGAGCTCTTTCCATTTTTTACGCGCTGTCCGCACGTCATCCCCCCGCCCTTGCCACCACCCTTCCCTTTGCTGCCCTTGCGTCCTCCTCTCTTATAGTTCGCGGAGATGTGCCCGAAATAACCACGCGCGCAACACATGGGCCCCGTGCCTTATTTGTTTGGACGCCCGAAATGGGTACGGAAAGAATGGGTACAATGCCCAACAACAAATGTTGTCCCAAACCAACAGCGGCCGCTGTTGGGCAGGCGGCCTTCTGTCTCAATTGTACACAGGCCGCGGCGACACCGACAGCGAGTCCTGTTCAAAATGAGCAAGAACTGCTGTTGGGCATTGTACCCATTCTTTCCGTACCCATTTGGGGCGTCCAGAATTTGCCTCTGCCTCGGTTGACAGCGCCCACTGCTTCCCCCCGGCCAGGATCACCCCCGCGACCCCGGTCGCCGTCGCCGGAACACCAGCAGCCGTCATCGGCAGCATACCCTCGGCACCCCATCCCTCATGGGAGCCCCACGGGCCCCCCCTGGCCATCGCTCTGACGTCCATTCCCTGTGTTTTTTCGGTTTCGTGCGTGTTTTCTTCGCCAAATGATCAAGGATGCTCCTCGATGGTCCTCGCCAAAGGAAAAATGCACACGTCCGAGCGATGCCAAGCTGGTCGCCATCGTTTCCACCAACCCCGTCCGATGTCCGTGGCGCCGTGATTCTTTGCGTCGGCATCCAGTCTCTTCGCACGCGCTCAGTCTTCGCACGCAACGCACCATTTCTGGAATTCTTCTGTCGCCAGCGAGCCGAGTGCTTTGGAGCACGGTTGATGCAAACCTTCGCAGTCTCCCGCATGCGTCAGGATAGCCCCCAGTCCAGTGCGGAATGGGAGAGCTAACAAATATGCGGGGCCGTCCTTATCTAGATGTTCCACCAACACCGCCCACTGTTCAAACTGCGCAGCCACGTCCCCTGCGTTGTTGGGCGTATCCGGCCCGTAGCTAGGCTCACCATGGTTGACAGAGTCACTCCAGCCACGGCAGAGAGCCACTGGTATATATTTTGGCACGCTTGTAATCCATCATCTTCTCTAAACCCCTTTAACTTCCCACGGAAATCAACCCCTTCCAGTCTGTCGCTCATGGTATACCGCGTGTTCTCATATAGCTCGTGCAGCAGATCCTCTGTGAAGTCAAATAACCCTTGTTCACCATGCTCCTGCTGCTTCACTATGCCAACAGTCCCGTATTCCGAGACAGTAAACTGGCCATTTAGGATTCCAATCATGTCGCTATCATCCTCATCATGCACCGTGCCACCCATGGTAGACAGCTTGTCATCTAAGTTCGTTGACGCATTCCGGTACTGCGGGCTCACATGCGCAAGCGCGTTCAATAGTTTCCATTCCACTGACGGAATTCAGACCGGTCACCAGTGAGGAAGTTGAGCCCGTTGTGTAGCTCTGAATTCGCTAACTGGCTTCTGGTGCTCTTAAGACTTACCGTTCCCCTCAACTATTGAAGCAGCTACTTCCGTGACATGTTCCGTAGTGTTCGTCTACACGTTCGTTGGTCCTCGGGATCTTCGGTTATTAACGAAAGCTGAATGGCTTCTTCTCCTTCTGTGTGCATGCTGCGGTTCACGATGCCGAGAACCCAGGACCACATGTTGCGGGCCATTAGCAACAGTCCGCACCCTTCCTCGTTAGTGAGTGCTCCAACTCCTGCTGCAGTTCGCCTCCCCTCACGATTAGATCCCAATGCCACCTTTACATTCCTGTGGTCGCCTCCGAAATATGTAGCCCCATATACTTCACTAAACCTCGCAGGGTTTAGATTAAAACATTGGTCTCGGTCCCGAGGCGAGTTTAACTCTGGGGGCGGGTCGCTGCTGCTGCTGCTGCCATGGCTGCCATCAACCTCGGTCCGCTACCATGAAAATTCCCCAGAGGAATTGCACAGGAACGATGTGATGCTTTCAACCGCGGGCGAAAGTGCGACAATTCCGCGGGTCACATGCTTGAGCCGGATGTCAGCAGTAATGCAACACTTGACTGCGGAAGTCGTGGCAATGCTTCCCACACAGTCGCATGGCCATGTTCTAACATGTCCTCCTTCTCTTCCTCCTCCTCCGCCTCTGCCTGTTTCTCCCTCCTCCTCCCTCCACCTCAGACTGGAACCCTCGAAAGAACCCTCCAAAACACCCTCATAACACCGGGGCGCCTCAAGCGTCTCGATGATCGTGCCCGACTTGAACGTGTAGGCCTCGGTCGGAATCTGCGGGGCCGGATCCTGGCGCCGCCGCGTCGTCGTCGCTGCCGCCGCCACTCGTCGTCGGAGGGACGGAGAGAACATCCTCATGGCGAGGCCGATTTCGATGTTTCTTGTGTCACATGTGCTCGGGGCCTTGCAGGGGGCCGCGTCCAGGGCCGTGCCAGAGGGCGCGCGGGACATGACAGTGGGCGCTTCAAGAAGCGCGGCAGGAGACGTGACGGGGGACGTGACCTGGGCGATCGACGCCTTACCTATGCCAATGCTCGCACATGGATGCCTATCCAGCGCATTCGGCCAAGACGCTGATCAATGCCCCACGCCCTTGGAGTCCAGGCTTGAGCTTGGAGGCAGCAGTAGGCGTATGGATAAAGCACCGACCGCCGATGCCCAAAGACATCCGCGCGGGGCAAAAGCTCCAAGCCGCCATGCATCTGCGGAGGGTCGCGGTCCAAGGAGTCAAACCCGCGAGCCCGTGGTGACCAAAAGGCTTGTACACGCCATCACCGTGCCTGGTCAGGGCCATCCTGCGCCCTGGCATGGCGTAGACGCCGTTCTAGCCAGGGCCAGGAAGGCATACAGCTTCCACGATGGGCCTGCAGCCTGTGCCGCAGGCTCGTGTCGTGACGGTCCTGGCGATGGCTTCTGACACCGCGCGGATCGCTCAACCTTCAGCGATCGTCGGCGTTTCGACGGCTACGTCGTTCCACGTTGGCCGATTCTGGGCCCCTGGCGGCCTGCAATGTGAAGTCCCGACACGGTGCGGTGACAGACCGTGCGGTGACCTCGCAATCCTACAAGACCTCACCGCACGGTCAGTCAATGCACGGTTCTGGGACCTCGGATGCCCAAGTCGCCCGAGACGTCCTCGGAGAACGACCCGAGTCCCAAAACCCGCGCGGTGACCCCGGAATCCCCACCGACTCGCCACATGGTGTGGCCACCACCCCGCTCGGGGTCCCCCCGAAAACTTGCAGGCCCGCGGCGGGACCGCTGCCGCACCGGCATCGCACGAACCTCGCGCGCACCCTCCTGGGGGCCGACGCAGGCCCCCTCGGAGCCCATGCCCCCCCGGACGCTGCCCCTGAGCGAGGGATGGGCCTGGCAATGCTCAGGGGGCGCAAGGACACACAGATAAATGAACAAGAATCCCGAGGCTCCCCATATTTTTCCATATGTTCTGGGTCTTCGTCTTCCCACCCACTGTCCATATTTTGTGCGGTCTCCTGGGAATCGACGATTACTTGTGTCTGTGCGTTGTTGCCCCTCCTGGAATTCGGCTGACGCTGGTGGTTTATCCGGCCCCATGGGACGCAGAAGGAGGTACCAGTTCGATGTGCATTCCTCCGAAGCGTGCGCCCGGCACGAACATAAAATACAACCATGGTGTCGTAGATCGTTTCCCGGACGGCACGGCCAGAAAGCGGGAAATTGACTTTAAAAATTCTCAGCGCGCGCGTCGCCCCTTTGGAAGCGACGCACACATAACATTACTATATTTGGGTGGCGCCGGCCCTTATCCCCACCGGCGTGTCCTGGGCACCACTGGCCGACTACCCCACTAGATGCGGACGTAGGCTGTCCCCTCCGGATATCCCCAGCTCTGGTGGCGGGGTGGCGGGGATCGGGATGGGGATGGGGATAAGGATCGGTTAAGCGATACTAACTATCGGGCCCCAGTGCCACCGAAGAGCGCGTCCCCCGGCCGAGCCGATACCAGCAGCCTGCTGCGAATCTCGTGCCCCGCCCGAACCCCTGCCGCCAGCCTGGTCTCGGCCCGCCCACAAGAGAAAAGGATAGAAAAATTGATGTGAAAACCGGGATGCCTCCACTAAGCGGAATGAATCGAGAGTAAGTCAACAGCGTGTCGAAAAGCGGGCGCGATGCCTGGCCAGGCTACAAATGGCAACAAAAGGCAAAGCAACGCCCGGCAAAGATCGTGTGAAACAGGCAGGACTGATACCGCTCGAATCTGGTGTTCAAGCTGGTCCGTCGTACACTCGCTAGCACTAAACAAAAGCTGGGGTGCTCTACTAAAACCACCCGTGACAATTGGGGTGCTCTACTGACTGCACCCTGAATAAAAAATTGAAGGCCTGCTGCGGGCGAGACGCTACTGGTGGAGAACAGGCAAGTGCGTGCGGCTGCCCAGCTGACATAATCATCTGGAGCAGCAATCACTTGTGCTAACCTTATTGCGTTCACTCGTCGAAGCCCGAAAACTTGACGATCTCGCGGCTGCTTGAGTAGACCGATCCGCGTACCAGTGAACGGAGCTACGGCGGTCGATCGGACGTCGACCTTGTGACACAGTCGCACAACTCGCCTCTTCACCGTTGGGTGAGAGAACTGCGCTGGGAGTTCGGAAAAGCATTTTCCGCTTCTCGTCGCTAGAACTTGACCGCATGCATCCGGGTCGTAACTGATCTGGCCGTCCGTCACGCTGGGGATGCGATCCTGGCCCACGCCGCCTTGGTCATGGGGTCGGCCCGCACGCCCCGAGCATCAAACCAGAGGAGGTCTTCGATCTGCACGCAGCGCAGCTGGTCAGCCAGCCACCACACGCGGACCGCCACGCTGTTCTCGAAGGGCGGCCGCAAGGGGCCCATGAAGCCCATGAACAGGGCGCCCAAGACGGCCGCGCCGTCAAAAACGAGATCTGCTGCGTTCGCATACCCCCCCCCCCCCCCCTCCCCCCCATCAGCCACCCGATCTCCACAGCAGAGGCGGGACCGCGCACCATCTCGCGCAGCGCGAGGAGGTGCGCCAGCAGTCCGTCGGCTGCGCCGCATGCGAGTAGCTCTGAGCCGAACCAAGACTGCACGCCCGCTTGCGAGATTGGCTCTCTGCGCCCAAGAAGTGGCTCGCCTGTTTGCTGGCACGACGGCACCTGCCAAGACGCATGTACACGACCCTCTCAGGCCGCACCCTGTCTCCCCCTCCGTCTCGAACGACCCGTTGCTGCGCGCGCTGAGTCACCTGGCACACTCCAGAACTGGGAGTGCGACGCGTGCCTCGATCTTCTGCATTGCTAGAACGACTGAGTTCACCTGCATCGCGCGTCGGATGAGCAGCTTGTCCTCGGCCCTCTGCCGGGCGACGACGCACGCGGCGACGCGGCGCTGGGCCAGCAGCGCGTAGGCCGCTGCTCCCAGGAGGGAGACACAGAACCCTGGAAGCCGACCTCCAGCCGGCTCGTCAGCCTCGGCCCTGACCAAGCCGACGCGCCTGATCGGCATCAGGGCGTCGATGTACTCGACCTGATCAAGCGTCACGGTGCCATCGGCACTGCGGCGCCGGCGCATTCCGCAGTCGGTAAAATCGTCGCAGTCAACTGTTCATATTGCCGAGGACGCTCTCGACATGGCTGATCAGCCCGTCGACGTGCTCTGGGTGTCTGGCGATCTTCAGATGATCGACGCGCCTGGACAACGTGGGCGCTAGCTCCGAGACGCCAGGGCCACAGGCACCTAACGTCTCGGGATCTACCTCACGACGCGGGCCCCGCCCGGGGGGTTCTGGGGGGTTTGGCGCGGCACTCTGGCGAGCGCGCGACTCGGGGAAGCTGCGTGGAGGAAGCCCAGGGCGCACCCCTGCAGCCCGTGCCCAGCGCGACGCAGCACAGGCACTCGGTCCGCCCGTCGAAACCCCCGTAGCCAGGCACCTGCCCGAAGACGGCTGCACTGCTGGGCGGCAGGGTAAAGTTCACCTCGCGGAGTGCTTCACCTTGTTCCTGATCTCGGCAAGACGCATGCCTTGCGGGAATGCCTTCTCGACGTCCATGGCGACGCACACCCGGTCTGGGCAACGCGCCGCCACGCCCGCTTCGCTGCCCCAGCAGACGCCCCCAGGGCTCCTGCACCCATGTCGCGAAAGCCCCGCAGCGCCACGCGGCGCCGGATGACCGGGCGGTGAATTCTGCGTGGATGGCCGCTGATCTCCGCTGACAGTCTCGACCCTCTCTAGTCGTCAGGTCGGCGTCGCCCTTGATAACCGCGGCCTCAACGGCGGCATGAATGCTACGCGCTGCTGCTCGGGGAGCGCTAGCGACAGTCGCCAGCCGCTTCCTCGTTGAAGCTTACAAATGCCTCGCGCACCTGTCAGGATCAAGCAAAAACTCGACGCGCCTTCCCCTGTCGCCCTCCTCTAGCGCGGCGCAGTCGTCCATGGAAGCCCCGCGCAGGTAGTAGCGGCACTGCGCGTGGATGCTCCGAATCCGGCGACGCGTCTCGAGGCTCCGGTGCCCTCGCGAAGCCCGCGGCCAAGGCCCGCTGGAGCGTGCTCGACAGCAGCGGAAATGGAATGCTGACTTTCAGCGCCCCCCAGCACCTCGAGCCCCCGGGGCCAGGTCTTCTGCCCCCCCGACTCCGCGCCAAGCTGCCAACATCACCTTTTGGACGTGGCCAGAGACGACGCCGTTGGTCTCCACGGGCATAGCCGACAGGGCCGATGGCAAACCACCCTCAGCGGTGAGAGAAGCGCCCTGGGGACAGTCGATGACGCAGCCATCGAACGATCCGTCTGAATCTTGTCCGGCGTCTGCTACCAGCAACGGCGCGTCGCCCAAATTAAACTGAATGGTGCGAGCTCCCTTCCAACCTCGCCAATGAGCTGATGGGCGTCGAACCTGACGCCTCTAAAACGGATCTGCCGAGCACCACTCAGGTTCTGAGGGGGCCGCGCCAAGCCTCGGGCGCAGCCCGGCCAGTGGCACACAGAATTCTGACCGCGCATCAGACGCACGGCACGAGCGTCTGGCAGCTGAATGCATCTGCGGGAAAGACGGCGCAGGGCTTCGAGGATGTCGGGGCGCTGCTGGGTCTGCGCGTTTACCTGCGCGACTCTCGAGCCCTCCCAGTGGCCGAAAGGTTCTGGCCCCAGAGCCCGGCACGACGCGCCCCAGGCAATCCTCCTCGCGGACCCAGGCCAAGCCTGCTCGCGCCACGCAGGTGCCCAGCGGCACTCGGCCGCCACCTTGCCTCGAGCCGGGCCTACGCAAATGACCGCCTCGGGGCCTGCCC